TGTGTGTGTGGTGGTGTGTGTGTGTGTGTGTGTGTGTGTGTGTGTGTGTGTGTGTGTGTGTGTGTGTGTGTGTGTGTGTGTGTGTGTGTGTGTGTGTGTGTGTGTGTGTGTGTGTGTGTGTGTGTGTGTGTGTGTGTGTGTGTGTGTGTGTGCAACGACTGCGGGAGAGAGCGGACGGAGCAGACTGCGGGGGAGGGACGCTGGCGGGAAGCAGACGGAGCGGCTGGCGGAGCGGCCAGCGGAGTGACAACGAGCAGGAGGGGAGGGAAGAGAGGAAACCAGAGTGGCGACGGCGGCAACCTTCTCCCTTCGGGTCGGACGAGACGGAAGATGAAAGGGGAAGTTAGCGCATCAGATAACTTACACACCTGTGTTTTTTCTGGTGCCCAAGCATCGAAGAAAACGCCCAGCAGAGAGGCCGAAACCGGATGTATGCAAAATGCTCTACACCCTCCTCAACCCCTCTTTCGCCTGACCCGATCACTCCGGGGCCCTTCCTGCCTTTCCCTCCCGCCTTCTGGCACCGCACATGGCACGCAGAAGGGCTTCCAACGCCGATGCAAGAAATCTGCGTGGACCTCTGAAAGTTTATGTCCGCCAGGGCACGAACAGGGCAGGTCCTTCCGTCATCAGTCCTGAGGAGATCTAAAGGGGCCCAGACTCCATATTCCCGAATCTACTGGGGCTTGTCGCGTGCCCTCTGGGCTCCACCGCGTGGTGGAGCGTGAAGTTTTCGGGCCCAGAAGGGCCCCAAGAGGTCCCGAGTCGCCGAACGATCGCTCGAAGACACTCAAGCTGGCCCCCAGACGGCCCAAGAGGTCTCCAAGACGCCCTAAGAGGCCTCCAAGAGGCCTCCCAGCAGGGCCTCAGGATGCCAAAATCAGTGGTTTGCTTACGATGTTGAACGGTGTTGGGCTTCCTCGCCTTTTCGGCTTCCCGACGCTCCCGAACGGCCCCAGATGCCCCCAAGATCGCCCCAAGACGGCCCAAGAGGCCTCCAAGAGGGCCCAAAAACGGCCCAAGAGGGCTCCGATACAGCCAAGGAGACGCCCAAGACGGCCCACGATGCCTCCAAAACAGCTCCAAGATGGGGCCCAGATGGGGGACCTAACTGACATTTCGAGCCCTCGGCCCTGAGGGTTCCCAGGAGGCCCCCCAGAGGCTCCCACGAGGCCCCCAGGAGGCCCCAAGGGGCCCTAAGAGGCCCCGAAGAAGCCCCCAAGAGGCTCCCAGGAAACCCCTAAGAGGCGCCCAAGAGGCCCCCGAGAGCGCTCCGAAGAGACCCCAAGGAGCATCCCTGAGAGCTCTGACCCTAAACCCAGGCACGGTGGTGGGATGAGCCGAAGGCCATTCGGTTCATGTCGTCTGGTACTTCATCGATCCACAGATTCTTCTGTCAGCCTTCATAATACACCACATCGGCATTCCCATGCTCACTCCTTCCTGCATCCCCACCCCGTCTGAGACCAAGAGCTGAAAAATCCTCGGCCGCCTCCTCCACCAAATATCATCCCCTCCTGGAAGTGGCGCCCCTATCGCCTAGTCAGAATAGCCATCACCTTCTTCGTGTGCTCCACCGCTTCGGGCGAGATCTTCCTGCTCTAAGTCGGGAGCTTATGACCGCAAGTAGAGAAGGAGGACGGCGAGGAAAAAGACGAGGATAACAAGGGAAGGTGTCGCCATGGATGTACATAGCGTAAAAGACGTCTGCATGCAGCGTGAACGCTCTTCAGCCATAAGCAAACTCTACAGCACATTCCGAATCACCAATCCAAACATGTTCCAGCCAGCAAGTGCTACAATATCGGTTCACCAGCTATCAACCTGCCACGCAAACAGCCATTCCACACCAACCCTACAAGCATCGGCACTTGGTAAGCAACAGCCTACATCATCTCGGCAAGTCGTGCGCAAGGGAATTGGAAGTCACTCGCACAGATCGGTTTACACAACAGTTGTGTTCAAAACAATGATCAAGAACGCTACCAACATAAAAAAAAAGAATTCGCTTCAGCATGCTATATGATGAGTGAAGGTGGCCGAGGATATTCCAGTGTTGCTTCAGATTGGAGCAGGAATCCAGGTCGAAGGCTTCGGGAGGAGACGACCGCGGGTGATAATGACAGAAAAAAACAGGAGGTAGATGAGGAAGAACATATATATATATATATATGAAAAATAAAGACGACTGTCCAGGAGCAGCAGCGGTAGCAGCGGCAGCGCGAACCGCAACGAGGCAATCCTTTTCTTCGATGGTCCAGCATCTTCGTCTCGGCTGAGCAAGCGCTTGAGCCTCTCGGAACCTTCCACGGCGTCCTGCGCACGCAATCAGATGATCCTCTGCCCAGTCCCCCTGTTGGAAGAACAACAAAGTTGAACGCCCACACACGCGTGATGAACACTGCTGCGCGTGAAGCCCAACAAAAAGGTGACGTTGAATCTGCCAACCCCCGCTTGCCAGTGATAAGAAGGCGTGTAAGATAATTGGCGTTCCCCCTTTTCCTTTCCCCCTCTATCAGGGTCGAAAATCTGATTACAGGGGGAGGGGTACAGGGGGGGGCCTCCGGACTTTCGAAATCCACGCTCCGTGGTCTCCAAGACGCCAATGATGCCATCAGACTGGTTCAAGCTAGACTCCAACATGCCGAAGAGAGCTCGAAAACAACCAAGATGGCCTCACGACTCCCAAAGTGGACTCCAAGACGCCTCCACAAGGCTCCAAGAGAGCCCCCAAGAGGGCCCCAAGATGCAAAATCTTCCCGATCCCGTAGGACAACATATGTTTTCCAGATCCGATGTGTTTGGCATTTAAAGCTACCAAGACGGCTCAAGAGGCCCCCAAGATCGCTCAAAGACAGCCCAGGATGTTCTGAAGGGGGCTCCAAAACGGCCAAAGAGGCGCCCAAGACGGACCAAGAGAGCCCCTATCGGGCAACAAGAGGGGTCACGAGCCCTGCGTCCCAAGAGAACTCCAAGACCACCAGCAGGCGCCCAATACCCGCCCAAAAAGCCCCAAGAGGCCCCAGTATACCCATAATAGAAGGCAGCAGAAAATATCGAAACAGCCCCAAAAAGGCCGAACCCATGACGTGGTTGTCCTCAAGGGGTCGTCGGAACGGCGCAAGCCACTGAAGAGAAGCATGGCAGCATGGCGTCAAGGCGATAACCTGATCACAGCTTGAATACTGAACAAGCGTAATGACAAGAAGAGCAGCCTTCTAGAACGGGCTCGGTGTTCACTTGCTTGACAATCGAGAACACCATTAGCACATCCGTCATAGGCCAGGCCCTGTTGGGAACCACTAAACGCGGGTAGCACGTCGGTTGCATTCCGACTCACTAAGTAGTGCCGATGTCCAGGAAACGGTTGCCCTTTCGGAAGACCCATGCTCATGCCAAAGAGTTTCAACCCCCGACAGCCCCGACACGGTTGTGAATCTTCGCCCCCATGCCTGCACACGTCGCATGAACTGTCGCAGCCGTACCAGTGTTGGCGGCAGAGCACGCCACGCTGATAAGAACGCAATCACAAAATGCGCCGTCTGAGCGAAATGAGCGGCCCTCAACGGGCAAATGTCCCTCTGCGCCTACAATCTGGCGTGTTCTGGCCACCGTAAATTTCAAGGACTCTTCGGTCGCGACTCACATCACCACGAACTTGATTTGCAACGGTAGGGTATGACAGCACTGCTGGACGAAGTATCGTAGAAGACAACAGGCCATGTGCAGAACACAATGCTGACGAAACATGCGAATCTCGGTCCTTCGGACTGGGCTTGTGACGAACCTCGGCAGATTGCCAAACCGTGGCCTCTCACACCAAGAGATAAAAATACCTCCCGGCATATCAAGAACGCTTCTGACCGAGACAAATCACCACACAAGCGAGCGCCGCGATGAACTTGGCAGGGTTGCCAGCGGGATCTAAAAGTTGCTGTCAAACGCTTCGCGCCCACGAGAATAACTCCTGCTGATAACCGACGCGGTACTCTCGGCGGGCTCGCTTCCTTCCAGGAAACTCGTCGTTCATTCATGGGCCAACGCGAATCTTCCACCCATCCGAATAAACAACAAAAACCGTGGGCGACAAATAGCCGCGTCCCCGCAAACTCCTAACTTTGGCGTTCATCAAACGCGCCAGGTAACGTGCGCAAATGCACGGACTGGCACCACTGGGAGGCGAAAGAGCGAAGGCGGCCCAAGGTCCTCCTGGTGCGGCCAGCACCGAATCGGGCAGTCGGATCGAGCCGCGCCAGGATGCGCAACATCTCCATGCAAGCATCGGGCATCGCATCAGACCATCATAATAGCTTGAGCTGATAATCGGATCGGGCCAGCCAGACCCGATCTGCCGAACCGGACCGATCGGATCGAAGCGGACCCTGCAGGGCTGAGCGAGGTCCTTCAGATGCTCCTCCAGGTCTCCCAGGTCGGCGCCCTCTTCCTCGTTGTCCTCCTCCTCCTCCGCCGCGAGTGCCGCCTCGCGGCTCGAGCCGGGCCGCATGGGGCGGGGGAGGAGGAGGTGGGAGGAATGTTCGGCGGGAGCCAGCTCCAGGGGGGACACATGAACCTGGAATCGGCGATACGTTACCGATGGATCGGCGATAGGCCTCGGACAGCAAATCCGCATGCTCCTGAGCAGGGTGGGCTATTGTGCCCCTGCCGACGATCAACCCGAGATTTGGACCGATGCATGCCCCCCTGAGCCTACCCCCTTGACGTTGCTCCTCAGGACCGGCGGGGGAAGGGGAAGAAGAGGGAGAAGGCGGTGCGACGAGCAGGAGCGGGAGCTGGAGAGGAGATGAATAAGAGAGGAGAAGCACGAAGTCAGGCGGGGCGAGAAAGAACAAAGCAGGTTCGTGTCGTGACGACCCCGGCGCTCGCTTCTGACACCGCGAGGATCGAGAATCGTTCAACATCGAACGATCGGCGCCTTTTCGACCGACCGCTCGTTCCATATTGCCCAGTTCTGGACCACTGGCGGCGTTCAGCCTTGAACGTCCGCGCTGGGGTTGCCACCGCGTCGACACGACACGAACCTGCCTGGCCATCGTCTTTGAAGGTACCCGCGGGCTTCTTGGATCGGCGCTGGACGCCCGGAGGCACCGCCAGGGGAGTCCCCGCGCGAGGAGGGTCTCATCCGCGCGGACTTCCGAAAGTTGATGCTGAAGCCGATCGTTCTCCACCCCTCTCCTCTTCCCTCCTCGTCTTCCGCCCTCCTTCCCCCTCGTCCTCCGCCCTCACCATCCCTCCCCCCCCACCCCGCCCTCCTCGTCCTGCGCCTCCCGCTGTCCTCGGCCTCCACTGCTGCTCGGTCGCAGCAGCGGCAGGGCCGCCTGCTGTTCGAGGAGGGCCACCTCGCTCTCCTCCACGACCGCGGGCGCCTCGTCGACCCCCCCCGCGAGGACGTCCTCGCGACGGGGGCGGCCAAGCAGAGGCACGACAGCACTCTTCACCGAACTGCCCCGCGAGGAAGGATTGATTGGCTCGTACCATGCTCTCCGAGGTAATGATGACATCGAGGCAAAGAGAGGCCCCTGCACTGGACCCGTGCACCGAGCCGCATTCCACATCGACCTGTAGCCTTCTGATGCGGCCGCAGGTGGCCTGGGCTAAAACTTGTGAGCAAGGAGGAGGAGGAGGAGGAGGAGGAGGCTCTCCTCCTCCCTTCTCGCCGCCTTCCTCGTCTTGCCTCCTCCCTACCCCCATTCTCCTCCCTCCCTCTTCCTCCTCCTCCTTCTCCTCCTCCTCCTCCTCCTCCTCCTCCTCCCCCTCCTCCTTCAGTCCTCTTCCTTTTAGATAACTCCTCCCTGTCGCACCCCGAGGCCACCCTGATGCTTACAAACTGACAACAGTTTCACAGATGGAGGGTGGGTCGTTTTCAAAAAGTGGCTCTGACCTTAGCGCCGCGCACATTCAATTTGAACATGTGCAATGGCTTCACGGATTGAGGGCGGGTCGTTTTCAAAAGGTGGCTCTCGCCTTAGCGCCGCGCACATTCGTTTAAAAATGTGTAAGAGTTTAACGGGTTGAGGGCGCGTCGTTATCAAAATATGGCTCTCGCCTTGGCGCCGCGCGCATTCGTCTTAAACATTTGCAGGGGCTTCGCTCGTTCTCAACAGTTACTTGGATTCGCGGTGTTGAAGTCCCAGGAATGGTGTGTTGGCGCCATCAAGAATCGCCAAGACGTAACAGTCAGCGTAACTCGGGGCGTTGAAATCCTGAGAATGGCGTTTTGGTACCCTTCAAGATGTTCACACGGTCGTCCCCCAACGGGGCAACTTCAGGTGGAAATAACCCCTTTCATAGGGTCCTACGAAGAGGGATCTTGGAGGGAGGGTGTATTTCAACATCGTTGATGAACCCTGGGTTTACACTTGTCCTCCTCCTCCTCCTTCTCTTCCTTCTCCTCGCCAAACCCCCTCGACCAACCACCTCCACCCTCCAAGATCAGACAACCTGGAACCGGAAGATCTGAGCCAATCAAAATTTGCGTCGGATCGTCCGCGCCAGGATTCACAGCAACGCCATGCAAGCATCGGGCCGCATGATACCGTGGGGACATCGGAGAATCGACTGGGATGAGGCCAGCTGGACCGAATCAGCGCGTTGCTGAAGAGCGACACACGTTTCGGCCAAACACGAAGAACATCACGCTGACGGGCTCTCAACAGCGGCGTGTCGTTGATACTGATTTTCACTACCGATGGACGCCCTCCCCCAAAGTCGGCCCCGAGACACTCCAGAGGCCTCGTCCAAAGTTGCTCCTAGGCCGTCGGGGCAAAGATAATCTCCGAGGCGGCCCCGCAGCCTGCCCGCGGAGGGCCCAAGACGCCCCCAGAACATCCAAGCGCTCCGTGGAATCCTGAAGGGCGCAACAACAGCAAACGAACAACTCGTGCCCCGTGGGATTTGCCAAGTGTTGGCGCGTGACTTCTTCGGGCCCAAGAAGGCCCCATGAGGGCCCCTAGAGGCCCCGAGGATGGTCCAAGACGGCCAAGAGTGGCCGAAAGATCGCCCAAAGACGACCAAAATGGCCTCCAGATTGCCCAAGAGGCCTCCAAGACGCTCCAAGAGGCCTCCAAAAAGCCTCCCAAGAGGTCAGAATAATTGATTTCCGACGTTCTTGAAAAATGTCCCCGAAGGCCCAGACGGCCCTAGAGGCCCCCCAAACCGCCACAAGACCGTCCCAAGACGGCCCAAGAGGCCTCCAAAAGGGCTTCAAAACGGCCCAAGATGGCCCCAAGACGGCCCAAGAGGCGCCCAAAACGACCCAAGAGGGCCCCAAGACGGCCCCAAAAAAGGATCCAAGAGAGGGAAATCCAAGCCTTCCGGCCCAAGAGGCCTCCAAAGGCCCCAAGAGGTGTCAAGAGGCCCCCAAACAGGCCCCCAAGAGGCCCCAAGAGGCGACCAAGAGGCCCCAAGACCCAAAAGGCCCCCAAGAGGCATTCAAACTGCTTCCAGGAGGCCCCCGAGAGGCCCCCGAGAGTGGCGGGATGG